ACTGAGTTAGCCTCTCCTCCGGGTTTCTTTTCTGATCCTTTTTGCTTTCTGTGATCTCGCAGAGATGCGGAAGACGCGGTGTACGGTCGTGACGGGTATGATTACGATGGATACCGTCTGCGGGTGGAGTTTCCTCGAAGCGGCCGGGGTGCAGGCCGAGGCGGCGGCGGGGGTGGAGGTGGCGGAGCTCCCCGAGGCCGCTATGGCCCCCCATCCAGGCGGTCTGAAAACAGAGTGGTTGTCTCTGGTGAGTTTACTCTTAAGTGAGTTGATGAAAAGGAACGGTAACCACTTTAATTTTCATTGCATAACCTACTAGACAGTTGCAAATTTTTCACGTAGGTCTTAAGTTGTTTTAGTTTGGGAGTGAATTTAAGAAATAAGGATTATTGTGATCATGTGTCAAGAGCATTCACTTATTAAATGCAGTCGTCTATTATAGACTAATCTTTGTTCTAATGTACTTTATAAGTTAAAGTGAAATTTAGGATAATTGGTATTAAAAAAGTCATTTTTTCAGGACTGCCTCCAAGTGGAAGCTGGCAGGATTTAAAGGATCACATGCGTGAAGCAGGTGATGTATGTTAGGATCACATGCGTGAAGCAGGTGATGTGTGTTATGCTGATGTGTACCGAGATGGCACTGGTGTCGTGGAGTTTGTACGGAAAGAAGATATGACCTATGCAGTTCGAAAACTGGATAACACTAAGTTTAGATCTCATGAGGTAGGTTATACACTTATTCTTTTTTTTGGCCAGAATTGGATTCAGTGTCTTAACATTGGAATTTGAAGGTAAGGATTTCAGGCAAGGGTACCCAAGTAAATTGCCAGATTTCTGGTTTTAGTTACTTGCATTCATTCAGCATGCCTGAAGACAGGTGAAAGCTTAGATCTTTCAATGGAAAGTTCTGTCTATCCAATAGGGAGAAACTGCCTACATCCCAATCTTTTCATTTTTTAATTCAAACTGTTTTGTTCAGAATGGGCTAAAGTGTTGAACTGCTTTCTTGTGTAATATCCCCTTGCTCCTAACATCTACGTTCCCCTCATGTCTTTGATAAATTGTATTTTAAGTGATGTCATAGACAGGATTGTTTAAATTTAGTTAATTTTCCATGCTCTTCAGACTGTGCTATTGTGTAAATGTCTATTCTGCTCTGGTTTGTGTGAACTGGGATGTTGTGGGTGTTTGTGGATATCTTACCTGGGGAAGTCCTTATGTTTATCTTGCTTTTCATGTGTCTTTCTGTAGACATATCTGAAGAGATGGATTAAGGATGCTTTGCATTAAGGATTGTGGAGCACATTTCAATCATTTTAGGATTATCAAAAGGAGGATTGAGGAGGATCAGATCAATAATGGAGGCAATGGTATGATTCCAGGTGCTATTGTCACAGATGAAATTGGCAGTATTGACCTTATACTAAAAAGCAAGGGTTAAAAATGATTATATACATCTATCTTTAAACACTTGCAAACATCTTACGCAGTTATCTTTAGCTACAATTGCTTTATTCTTTAATCCTTGGCAATTGTGGCAAAATTACATTGCCCATTTTATAACTATTTTGCTCCCTTCCCCCACTTTTTTGTTTTAATAGGGACTAATGTGGGAAGAACTGGCTAATTTGTCACAGTGCTTAGTTACAACTGTTAATGTGTGACCTGCTGTTGGTGTACATGTGGGTACAGGGTGTCTTTAATTCCAACGAGATAGAGTATAATATCAATACTGCTAAATCTGCATGTCCTCTGTGTGACTGATAGAACGTTGCTATTTCATTTTTTTAAGACAAAATGAAAGCAAAATATAGAATTCCAACGTATTGATGTAGATAATCTAGTTGGGAATATTTTTAAGTCTTACCTTCCCTTTTAAACTAATATTCATAATTGATTCATATTTAAAACACTTTAATTTACAAATGAAATTCCAGATGGGAGCATTAGGTTTAGTTTAGACTTAGGTGGGTAGCAATACCAGTAAACTTTACAACTACATAACTTCTTGCAACCACAAAACCTGTAATACGCTGTACAGTAACAAGTGTTGGCATTATCAGTTGAACTGTAAATATAAAATGCTTCTTCCAATTAGTCTCTATGATGATTAAGTTTCTAAGATTTATCTGAACACCATTCAGAAACTTGTTTTGGGGAATTTGATAGTTATTGATGTACATCTGTTAAACTGATGACAGACATAACTCATCATTCCCCAGAAACCCTTTTTGATTACAGTATCTAACATTTTGCCTCCTCTTTTTTGGTTTTGCTGGTTATAAAGGTTTGGATTGGAGAGGGCTCACTGGATCCCAATCCTTGGAGCTGGATCATTGGATCAAATCATAATGTGGATAGGATAGGGAGGATGAATTACAAGGATTCATGGAGCGGGATCATATTACCAGGAACATAGGAGTGGATTCCTGCCCCAACCAAACCGCATTCGTGTGGATTTTTTTTTTTTATTCAACTTAATTGGCTATTCCAAAGATTTTTTTTTTTCCTATTTTTGACGATTGGAGCCCTTAAGATGCACGATGGAATTGTGTTTTGCATTTTTTGGTAAAAGGAGCAAAGCGAGGACCTGGAGATAAACGCTGGAGCAATCTCCTTGGAAGGATTCAGCACGAGTAGATGGTAAACATTTAAAGGGGAAAGGGGGGGTTTGTTTAAAATAGTAAATCAGTAAGTCACTTCTAAATTTAAAGAAAACAAAATTGGAGTTGAAGAATAAGTAGGTTTCCAATTGGCTATTGCCGATTTTCTTTGAAAAATAAACGTTTTTTAAAAAACTATGCATGGTTGTCCTTTTTCCTCTTCATGTAAGATTTTGAGTTAATGCTTTAAATTGATAAGATTCTGAACTGTATTTGTGTTAGTATATCAAAGGTTAAAAGGCAATATAATTGATATAAGCTATGTTTTACTGTTAATTGGAAAAGTCTTCAGGGGAAGATAAAGGTGAAAATAAGGCAGTGTATATGTAATAATGGCAAAGTAGAGTTGACCTAGTCTCTGAAAGATAAATGTTTCAAGCTTTGCTAAAACGTGATTAAAAACAGATGCTGCTTATTTTTGGTGATCACCTAGACTGTAGTAGCCTTTTGTGCAAAGGTGATTGGCAACAAGTAAATTTTAAGGTTAAATTGGAGATAGCCTTCAAGATTCTCAATGAAACATCTCAAAAATTGGTATTAAATGTTAACTGCAGTACAGATATATTAGAATCAGAACTCTTAATGCAAATTACATTTCCTTTTCAAGTGTGAACAGTGCACTAACTGCTTATTTGGGTGAATCGTTGCTAATAAAAAGTTGGACATCCTTTAGAATTTTGCCTTGTAAGTCTTTTCAACCAGTAACTTTTGGGTTATTCTGTACCCAGAATTTTGGTATTCTCTATCAGCACTGATTATATTCTGTAGTCTACTAGTTGTATTATTATTTTTACTCACAACTCCATGCTAAGTTTTAACTTGATTGGAGGTGGGAGAGTGTTTTAAAGTCTGCTCTTACGGTTTCCTCATAGGTAGTTACAGTTGGCAAACTGGTTCTCTGCACCCAAAAGAAATGGCTAGATCTTAATACTTCCCTTGGGTGCTAATCATAATTGGAAGCTGAATTTATGATGATTATTTAAGTGACGCAATTTAAAACCTAGGGAAAATCAGAAATTATCTTGGTAGAGGAAGAAATGGCCTCTGAGATGTTGCATAAAGTCACCCAGTCAGTACATTTTAATGATTCTTGTGGAATGTCTGGGAGAAGGGATATTAAGTTCAAAATTGGGATTTCACTTTAAGTAAATATAAACTCATTAGCTCTAGTTTTTACATAAAATTCAAAATGTAGCTAAAATAGATTTGTAACTTAAAACACTTAACAAAGGATTACACTTTTACGTAATGTGCTTCAAGTTTTACGTTTACAATATGTTTCAGATGCGTCATATTAAAGGGATTTTACAATAATTAAAGATTAATGCTGGGCCAACTGGTAACCTAGTGGTTTGGGTGACTGGGTCCCAAGTGCATGGTTCAAGGCCCACCTAAACGACTTAAACTCCAGATATGTGTATGTGCGTGCTCAAAGTCTCAAGAGGAAAAAGATTGCAGCATGGCCATCTTTCTCACTTTCCCCCTCTGGTGAGCATCCTATAACAAAAAGATTAATTCAAGCTAGAGACCCTGAGTTAATTTGTGTCCATTGAATGTTTTAGAAATAGGATAAAGATGAGGACCAGCAGCTGGCGTAATGGCTATGTCGCTGGACTCCCATGTGGTCGGCTACTGTTCGAGTCCCAGACCCAGTGGTTTAAACTCGAGCCAGGCACATGTGTGCATGCCCAAGATCCCAAGAGAATGGAGAAGGGATTGTGATGTGGCCACACACACACGCACACACACCCCGGATGGGGTGATTTCTCCTCCTGTCTATGGCAAGCACATGCACCCTATAGCAGAAACCTTTCCCCAAAAAATAGGATTAAGATGGAAATGGCCTTCATTCAAGATTGAGTGTATTTAAATTACAAAACGGCACTCTACTAAGTTTTAGTAGTTCCACCCCATATTGAAATTACATAGAAAGTGTACTTTGCCTAATAGATATGCTTGAGTTTGAATAGTAGAGGACTTAATGCATCTTTATGAAATTAAGATGATCCAGCAGCTAAAAGCTGTAGTAAGTCCTGGGAAGTGGAACTCCACCCATATTGGCAATTAGAAGAAAGTCACACCCTTTTGGTACTATAAAAACTGCCTTGAATGTTTCCTATTTATGTGCCCTTAAAATATAAGGAGTCTATAATTTATTTTTTAACCAAGGAAAAACTTAAGTCTCAAGCAATTTTCATAGCATAAGTTTGAATAACTCACTTTGCTGTTGAGCCTACATCATACTGGAAACAAGGTAAGAAATCCATTTTTTGATTGCTAATTGGGTTCTGAATTTTACTTTTAAAATTAAGTTTAGTAACTATTTTCAAAAATACTGTTTGGAATGTGAATCAATTTCCCTCATTTAAAATGTTCTCTACATTTTATACTTTCAGTAAATTTTGAGTGCATATATATCCACTAAACATTGTGTTGAATTCATATAATCTCAAATCTGGAATATCTTGGTCATTTAGAGTCGATGTTATTTTCACATTTCTGTGGTCAAGGTGAATTTTCTCATGTGTGCCTTTTTGCTTACTTTGTACTTAAAGTTTGTAATGAAATTACAAATGAAATAAGTTAAATGTATGTTTACTATAAATAGTATTAAAAAGAAACTATTAGACTGAAGTTCTGTTGTAATATACCCATCCACTGGCTTAACTTTTTTTCTATCACAGTATGGAGAGTGTGAAGGCAGAAAACATTTCAATCTCTGTCTACAATTCTGAAAAAAAAAAAAAAAGACTTTCTTATTGAGCTAATTAAATGTAAAATCTTTCCAAAATTGATGCCTTCATTTTGCATTTAGTGTGACTAAACAGTTCTGAAGAAATGCTGATGTGCTTCATTATTCATTACATTATTCATTGCCATAGACTTTGCTGGGGGCTTTGGATAATTTAGGGTATATAGAGTATACTTTTTATAAAGTGCAAACAGCTCTGAATCCCAAATACATCTGCCCACAAAAGTTTGGATAAGGAATTATAGAACTGTACAGAACATGCAGGATTAATGGTTATGTTGTTTTGGGTTAATGGAAAACCTGTCACTGTGATCCTTTATTGATTTGATACTTAAGTTTCCCGTCTTTTTAGGCTGAAGCAGCCACAAGAAAAAAGGTATGACCCACATTTTTTGTATACTGTGGCTATACTTAACACTCAAAATAGTTGTACTCCATTGAAGGAAATATTCACTCATCCCAGGGATACAGTATAATCAATTCTTTAGAGGTGATTGGTTTAGTACTTAGAGGAACATTGACTAATCCGATCCCATAGGAAAAGCTGATATTGGCATGAAGTAAAGAAATTATTAAAAAGAAATGCCTATTGATTGTGTCTCTTGTGATTGTCTATTGAATTAGTAATCCAGCAAAATAAGTTTTGCTTTAAAAATAGACTCCAGGAGTTAGAGTATACTTAAATCAAAAACTTGTCTGACTTGAGAACTTTATGGAGTGTTTCTTGGTAGCTTTGGTAACTATGGCTAGCAACCCTTGAAAGGTGGTTGTGGGTTTGTAGTGATCAAGGGAAAGATTTTTTTTTTCTATTTTAAAAATCACTTGGTGCTTCAGTAGTACACAGGAAATAAATTGCTCTTTATCATACATAAATAACCTCATAATTTAGACTTTTAAAAATTTTTAATTTTATTGATTATTTTTAAAAATTTGACCAGAAAGAGAAAGGGAGGTGAAAACAAGCCACCAAGTCTGGGACTAGAACTGCAGTCAGCCATGTGAGAGTCCAGCACCTTAACCACTATGCACCTGCCAGCCCCCTTTTATAACGTTTTAGTAAGTGCTAGGATGGATTATGAAGGAGAGAAAAGTCATAACGTTTTACAAGGTTACTATGTAGGTAGATAACCAAAACATGAAATGACAGGAGTACAGCTGAGTGCTTTTTTCTGAATTCTCACTACACAACTTAAGAGTATCTGTCAACTAATAATAGAACCATTGACATGAAAACAGAACTTAAGAACCTCTCTAGGATGCCATTCATCCCCTCTTAACACTAACCAAAACCAATTTGTAGGAATGCCAAAATGTCGGGTTTATTATCCTATTCTCCCCACTGGAGTAAATGCTAGGGCAAGTCACAGCCAGTAGAGGGAGCAATGACAAAGTCACCAGGAAATTTTTAGTGTAGAGCATCTATACCAACTACCTGATCCTCTATCAGCTCTAAATGATTTATTTGGGAAAGCTTTCTTGTAACTTTACTTTTGCCTTCCTAATTAGGCAAAATCCTTTCCCTTTTCAGTTTCTGGATCCATTTAATTAGCTTTCAGTGGAGCTTACCCTATAGGTACTCAGTAAACCATACAAATATGTTTAGGTTCCAGGACTTACTAGAAAATGCTCAAGATGTTACTCTTGTTCTCTGCCTACATAGTACATCTCAAGTATGAAGTAGCAAAGCTGGGAATGTGAGAAGAGTGTAGGAGAAAATGCAGAAAAAAGGCGTAAGTTGGTCATCTACAGATGACTTGTTATGGAGTGAAACCATTTCAATAGTGATTTATTTCATAGCATTACTAAGGCTTTTTTTTTTTTTTTTTTGAGAGAGAGGTTTTTGCTATAGGGTGCATGCGCTCGCCAGAAAGGCAGAGACACAAAGTGAGAAATCACCCCCTAGGGGGATTGGCCATGCCGTAATCCATTCTCCAGCCTCTCAGGATCTTGGGCACGCATGCCTAGTGTGAGTCACCAGGTCCAGGACTCGAACTGCGGTCGACTACATGGGAGTCCAGCGACATAGCCATTACACTAACTGCTGGTTCTGCATTACTAAGGCTTTTAAATGATCTTAAAAGCTTGATTTTTGTCAAGTTTGCTGACTTGGGCCTTAAGTAGACAGTATCTTATGATCAAAAAGTTAATGCTCAGTTTTCTTAATTTTCTTAGCCTAGGGTGCCAGAAGACAGACGGTGTGGTGGTTAAAGGTGCTGGATTCCCACATGGCCAACTGCAATTTCAATCCCAGACCTGACAGCTTGCTTTCTTGCTTTCCTTGTCTCTGGTCAGGTTTTTTAAAATAATAAATAGAATTGAATAAATAAGTCATTCTTTAATAATTTCTGGGGCCAACAGGTGGTTCGGTGGATTCCCACAGGCCAACTA